GGTCATGCTGGGCGATGACATTTATCATCTCATCCAGCGCGGGGATTACGAGGATGACCTGAATCGGGTGCTTGCGGTGGGGTTCCCGGTGGATAAGCCCGACTACACGGGGTGGACGGCCCTCCACTATGCCGCCCACATGGGGCGCACGGGCTGCCTCTCGACCCTGCTCGAGTGCGGGGCCGACGTCAACGCGCTCACGTCACGCGAGGGCCAGACGGCCCTGTTCCTGGCCGCTCGCGGCGGCCACCTGCCCTGCGTACAGCTGCTCCACGCCTACCACCGCTGGGCCGTGGCCGAAGCCACCCAGCTCGGTCGGGCAGCTGCTGTCGAAGACGCAGAGCAGCTGCTGCCTGCCGCCGCAGGCCTGGACACGAGCGGCACCGCAGAGGAGGAGTTCGGCCGGTGGACGCCGCTACATATCGCCGTGCATTGGTACCTACCTGCCTGCTGCGTTGTGCGCTGAACAATACCTGACCAAGGTGCGATGATGCGCGTGCAGCGACCAGGTGAGCTGTGCGCACTACCTGATGGCGCATTCGCTGGTAGACATCAATGCCAGGTAAGCGATCCTCTCAAGAGCACGATCCAACGTACGCTGGGCTGCTACCTTCATCTTGCTCAATAGCCGGCCACTCCCTGTGCAGGGACTATTACGATCGTACGGCCTTGCAGCTGCTCATCGAAAAGAGACTCAACCCCGCTCTCACCGTGTGGATGGTCCTTCGTGGCGCACGCGTGCTGTCCAAGCCCAGCGTACGTTGGGTCGTGCTTGCTCTAGCCTTAGCGCGAGACCGAAGACTCATCGGTGCCGACATCGTCTCTATGTTCACACACAGGCGCCGCCCATGTGGGACTCGACGAAGCTGGACCTGGACCACATGGTGGACACTTTCGACCCCACCGTGAAGCAGGTGCTGCTCCTTCATGTCTGGAATCTCGTTCTTTCGTAGTGGAGCTCTCGCGCTAACGAGAAGGTCGCCATGGCCCAGCCGCAACACGACGCTTGTTTCGTGGTCGAAGGGAAGCGACTCTACGCCGAAAGGGCAGTGCTGTGCGCCCGCTCCACGTTCTTTGCCGGCATGTTCGGCTCGTCGATGAAAGGTTCGTCTCGCTGGCTTTCTTTTTCTTTTCTGATGTTTTTAACTGTTCTGTCGTGTAGAGGCTGTCGAGGGCGAGGTGGAGCTGGAGAGCACCTACAACGCCGTCTTTGCCATGCTCGAGTGGATGTACACCGGTTGCATATCCACAGATAACTTTGACGACATTCTCCAGCTATGGTAAGTCCCTCTCCGGCCCTCTTTACATCAGACTCATCACCATTACACGTTGTTGTTGTTACTGCTGTAGGCAGAGCAGTCACATGTACGACATGGAGGCGCTGCAAAATTATTGCCAGAAGCGGCTGCTCAAGCTGTTCGAGGCGCGAAGCAAGCAGCTGGGCGATCACTCGGCCCAGGAGACGTGGAACTACGCGCTGGCACTCTTCAAGGCCACCGAAGGAGGAAGGTAAATTTCTTTCCACACGCGTAACGCTTTGGCCCACCGCACACATTTTTCACTGTCTGTCGTCCTGTCCAGCTCTTTCGATAGTGCGCTCAAAGCGATAAGCGGCATCTACCTATTGGGTCACCTGGAAGCCGTGCTTCAGAGGTTGGTTGTCTCCTGCTCCGCCGTCGCGGCTTCTCCGCGCCAAGTTGTATGTCTGACGACTGCAATCAATAATGATCTGGACCACAGATACAGGGGAGACCCCATCGCTTTCGTGGGGCGGCTGTTCGCAGCTGTGGAGCGGAAGGCCTACGACCCCGCATCGTATCCAACGTACACACCATAGGTGCCTCAGAGGCTGGTTCCATGTTGTATATTAATCCTCTCTACCATGGCGAGTACAGTCTGCCGGAGATCGAGGCCGAGATCGCCTTCTTTCGCAGGTACAAGCGGCTCCCCAAGGGCCAGAGGGAGATCATCAACGTGCAGGAGATGGTACTGTCACTCTCTCCCTTGTCTGCTGGCTGCACGCACATATGCACGACACGCTGCTCATGTGTCTCTGTTGGCCACAATAGGAAGAGAGGAAGAAGGGCAAGTGCCTCCTGTGGTTTGAAGAGGCGACGAGCGAGGGAGTCGAAGGCTGGCGCGAGACGCTCGCCCAGCTCCGGATGCTGCGCCAGCTCGAAGAGGACTGCTTCTTCTTCGACGGGCGGAAGCCGCACCGCTGCTTCGATCTCATTGCAGGCACCGGGATGGGCGGCGTAGCAGCGATCTGCCTCGGTCGGGTACCTACCCCTTGCCCCATTGACCACCTTCTATGCATTCTTTTAGGCTTTTCTTTCTTTGTAGTTTTTTATTACTTATTTTGTCTTTGCTTTCCTTATTTATATTGGCTGGGCACTGCGCGCAGGCACAAATGGCGGTACCTGCAGTGGAGGCGCTGGTGTGCGAACTGGTTGCGGCCGCGGGTGACCTGGGAGGAGGAGGGTCGTGGCTTTCATACGTCGGCGGTATGATGGACTGGGGCGGCGAGACCACACGCGCGCACTTAGCGCAGCGCGTGCGCGAGATCGTGGAGCGACATCTGGCAGCTTCCCACCAGTCCCAGCAGTCGCTCTCGCTGGTGGGTCTCACCGATGACTACGACCACCTGCGCCTGTGCGAGATGCAAGACCTAGACGAGGAGACGCACCCCAGGGACGACCGGGTCAAGGTACTAGTCATAGCGAAGCGTGCCGGTGCCAGCAAGGACGTCAGTCGAGCCGACAACAGGCGCGAACTCTTCCTCAAGCTCTACGGCGACCGAGTGGCTGCGCGATCGGGCAGTAGCGAAGCTGGGGTGAACCTGACCGACGTGATCGTGGCCGCCCTGGCTGCCGCGTCGCCCGGCCTGTTGAACCCAGTGAAGCTCGGTACGCAGCCCACCCAGCCACCTGCTCCACTTTCGTATTCTCGTGCTGACCTGATTTCGCTTCTGCGACCCACGCCGGCTAGCCGATGTGGTGGTGGGCGGTGATGGAGCCCAAGGCGCCAGCAGTGGTCTGGGCGGTCGGGGACGCGACACGCTGCTCGCGGAGATGCAGAAGCTGTGGCCGCGGTGGGAGCTCAAGCTGCTCCTCTCGCTGGGGTCCGACCAGGCGCCGGCATCCGCCCAGTCGTCGTCGTCGTGGTCTTCGCCTTCGTTGCTCCCGTGGGCGTGGTCGGTGCTGGCCGACCACATGTCCTCGTTTGCCGGCTACGTGAGTCGCGATCGGGGCAAGAACGTGTGGGACAAGGCTCACGAGCGATGCCTCGACCGCACCAACGCCGACGATGCGGGCTACACGGTCGGTGACAAGGTGGCCACCGTGCTGGCCGTGGAGGGCTGGCGACCGCTACGTTCATGCGACTACGACGACGACGACAAGGCCACGAGTGCGACCCGTCGAAGCCGGCCCACCAGAGATCTGCTGCGCCAGTCCATTGCCGCCTTCGTGCGGATGAGCGAGGAGTCAGACAGCGACGACCAAATCGACGACGACAGCGACGCAGCGAAGAAGACGAAAAGGTGGAACCTGCTCCACCTGCACCCTTCGTCAACGACGGGCGACACCACTTCGTGCCAATCGGACAAGGAAGTCCTGCACGCACTGGCAGCCAGGGTCAAGCAGTCCATGCGCCAGATGGAGCTGGTCGCAGCCAACGACGACGACGACGAGGGCGAAGA